TATCAAAATTATTTTTAAATTAATTTCTCTTGTCTGAATAGCAATGACTGTAATAAAAATACATAGAAGAAAAATTATTGAACCTTTATTGGTCAAAATGACGAAATCCTCGTATATATTTTTATTTAACTAATCAATTAAAAGATTGCTTTACATATGAAACTTCTCATCATTTAATGTATTCACGGTGCGGGTGTCGGGTCCATCGTTGTAGTGAGAGGATCTTCAACAGTGCCTGGGACTTGAGACTCAGGTGTAGGTTTAAGGGGCCCTATTAATAATGTCCAAAATAAGAATAATATGTTTATAAATACACATATAAATTGACCTCATTTAATAAATAGAATTTAATATTACTAACATGTTATACTACAAGCAATTGTTTTATTTGTATTCTAAGTAATATGACTAATTACTGTAAATGACTGAGAAAGATGAGTAAAACACATAACTGTTGAATGGAAAGACCTCAATACTGATATTGTTATAAATAAGCTCAACGAAAACTTTGCATTATTTAAATCACTTTTATTATTTTATGAAGTACAGAAATGTAATATCTGGTACCTTGTAATCAAGTTGTAGAATTAAAAAGGATTTTTTAGTCTACAATATATATTTTTTATTTAGTAAGCTGTAACTCACGTCGAAGTACATTTACTTTAAAAACTACAATTGCTTAAAAAGATTATCATTAGAACATCATCATAATCTAGACAAAAGTATTTTTAACATTTTATATAGTTCCTTTAGAATGTAAAATCATATGAATAAAAGTTCTAAGACATATACCCTTAATAGAAAGTTAATAGTGACGTAAAACCTATAAGTATATCATATTATCGATATCAACCCTTAAATTCAAAAACAATAGTATTTTAATACAGCAAGGGTCAATTTTAACCCACCCCAGTTCACATGGAACTTGTCACTTGATTTTTGACTTCAATAACAGCTCACAATCACCATCAGATATTATATTTAATAAGAACTATAACTAAGAGTATTTAGACATCACTGATTAATGCATTCCCAAAGAGGATTGATGTCAGGCGGCCGGTCGTAAAAACAATTAGCCAAAACTATTTACATGTAAGGCAGACCTTGCTAAAAGCTATGAAATTGCCATGTAGAAGAAGAAGAAGTATAACTGTACAATATTATCGATATTAATTGAGGGAAGAAAAGAGTTTTCTTCAATAATATCGATATCGACAAATCTTTCCCCGCACTAGTCGACCTACAGACGTGATGAAATACAAGCTGGTAGGCTTAAGTGAAGTTTTATGAATAATTTTATGGTTACCCAACAATCATGATATAATTTAATATTTTCTTTAAAGTACGTAAAATAAAATTATTTTTCTAAACTAATCTTACATATTGGACTTCCTTAAAAACTATATTTCCTAAACACGTTAATCTATTCAACATAAAAACTTTATCTATAATAATATACATTTTATACAGATAACATTATGTGTAATTAATTTTTATTCTAACATTCAATATGCAGTATGAATATTCAGAATAGAATTGTTTTACAATATATATGTATATGTAAAATTAACATATATTAAAAAAACTGAGAACTCGTTAAATCTTATCGAAATTATCGTTCTTCTTAAAATTATTGCAAAACATTATCACCATCATATAACGTTATCGAGAGTTTCTTAACTCAGAGACAAATATTATAATTAAGTAACGTGGACACATCGATACTCGTTGAATTAAACTAGTTTCTGATCCAGACTTCGTCCGTGATGGTTTCAGAATTAAAAATGTTCAGCTGACCGGGCGAACTCTAATCCGCGGTAGAGGCGGTAAATAAATAAATAAAAGTATTTGATTTTTTTCTTATTCAATCAAACGAAATGAAAACTATCCATATACGTTTCCTGATTCTAAGCTAACTCCCTACAAATTATCAGCTTAATCCATACAGTAGTTATTGAGTTCTAAATAGTTTAATTAATACGACTTTCCATATATATAAATAAAAAATATAATCATATTGAACGTTAAATTTATGAGTACTTTTAGAGAGAACAGAAAACCTTCTTTACATAAACAAATGGGCAATAATTAACTCTTAAAGGCGCACAGTATATAGTGTGTACGGGTAACATATTTCGTCGCACAATAGCACAGCCGTCACATGTTTGTCTGCGTGTGCGCACAATACTTCCCTTTCATGTGCCCGCCGACACAGGAACGATTAATGTTGTTTATCCCAATACATTGTGCTATCCTTACATTCAACATGGGGCAACTTCATAAATAAATATCACCGTAAAAGGTATGAAATTATAATTCAAAATATTGATGCTAAAAGAAGCATAAATGTCGTCAATTAATATATATATTAAAAATAAGCAGATTGATGATTCAATGTTAGCGTGCGATGGGAACACTGTTATCTGTCCATTACTCTCAAGTGTAAACCACTCAGCTGTATCTACTCTGAATAAAATCTGTTACACGAGAAGCGATTACATCATTTTATAGATTTCTTCAAGTCCTGAACCCTGGATACAAATTAATTGGAACTTGTGTTAGTTTTGACCTGACATTATGGCATTTTGACATAATTATGAACGAAGAATTTGATATCATTAAGAAAATATATAATAAAAGTACACAAAAAACTGATTATAATATATATCCAATACTTTATAGAATTAAAAGCCTATTAAATGTACCATATCTCACATATGAATATTAACCAATAATATGTATTATTCAATGACGTGCGTATAAAAACAGACTTATTAATTTAAGTTTTAACATATAACAAGTCACTCACACCAATCGCATTTCTATAAAAATATATAGAATATTTCGATAAGTCTGTTCTCATTGCATCATTGTTTGTTGACAGGTTTCTATTCTGATAATAATTAATTATACATTGTGATACGATTGTGATAAGTACGCTCAAATCCTAATACCAGAGACAAAAATTATCTATATTTTGACTATAAAATGTTATTTCTAATAAAATCTCGTAGAACACGTTATAAATATCCATTAGGCAATAATATTATAAAAGACTTCATTAATTTAAAAGTAAAATATAATGGCTAAGTAAAATAGTCATGATTATATTAAATTTATTTAATTATCGCACCGGCTTTATCTCGACATTTTCTTAATATCTGAACATCGCTGTTTTATATCTGGCATATATGATGTACATGTCAAAGTTATGTGAATATAGAATCTATCTAAAACATACTATTTTAATACGATCGATAGCCGGTGGTCGTTTCCACAGTATAATTAAAGCTATCATTGACATTGATAAATAAACAATCAAAGAATACATTAATAAAGATAAGAGTGTAATGAACTCAGACGTACTTTGAAATACAAACAAAAAAAAAATCTATATTATAGACCGCTGTCACCTTGACGTATGAAATATTTATTAAGCGGCTGTCACCTTGACGTTTCGCTGACGACACTACTCTATACTCTATGGATTGACTATAGACACATGTACAGTGTACACATCCCTATTTGAGACCTTTCAAAGACCTTTCTTAAATATCATTCTGACATTAATAGAATAATATTTATATTAACTTTTAGTACTAGTAGTAGTAGAATCTATATGGATTATTCTTTCTTTGAAATTAAATTATTCTGAATTATTATGTTATATAATTATAGAATTATTTGATTATATTTCCTTAAGATATAAGACCGACGGTATATTTAGCTAATATCCCATTTGTAACACATAAACATATTATGCTCATGTTATCTCCAGCCTTCATTTGGATGTGGGATTAAAAAAAAAACTAAAAAAAACTAACTCTTGACATCTTCTTTTTAAATATAATCGTGAAGAAATACAAATGTATTTAAAAAACATTTATATACATTTTGTAGTATTAAAAAATTATGTTATCTGTAGAATTAATGGGATATAGTGATAAAAATATTATTTTCTATATTCATCGACAAAGATAATAAACATGTTAAAAATAATAATTTAAAATTAAACTTAATATCAGACAGCTGTTCATCATTGAAAAGAAGTATTTTTATTACATTATACATCAATGAAATTGGATTTATATTTAAAAACTACAAAAAAGCAGTATTTTAAAAAAGTTAACATTATTTTAACCATAGAGGTTTTATTGTAGAATAATTTTTATATTATCTTGATTAATTAAATTGACTTCATCTATTCTGTACTCTGTTTGTGTGTGAAAGGAGAGAGAAAACAGGGATAGTTCTAGTGAAATAAACTTTTGATTGTCTATCTTGATTGTATTATTTGGATTCTAATATAATGGCAGGATATTTTATTTAATTGTACAAAAATTTCGGAAGCTGATTCTGTTAGTATCCAATTAATAAAAAATATACCTAAATACACATTTACAGGTAATTTTGAATGTCAAAAGTCCATGTGAAATGTCCTTAGCAAATAAAAAGTAGGTATAGTTTTAATGAGAATACAACAGTTGCTTATCATAATATAAAAATATAGATATATCAGATTAACAAACATATGTATTGGATAATCCAATCAGTTTAATATATTTTGTCTTACTCTAATTATTATTCTGTTTTCCATATCAAGATAAAGGAAAACATGTAACTTCAATGAAACTATTTTTAGGGTACAAAGTCATACAAAAGTTTTCACAAGTTTCATAAGGTAGGACTGGTTTTCCTCAAAATATAAAATCGGGGATTGCCCATACGACAATGCGTTCATTATTTTTGTAGTAAATATATAGTGTTTTACTAAGAACATTTTTATTAAAAAAAATACACAGATTAATGAATACAAATATCAATAAACATATGAATGATAAAAAAGTTTAACTCATTAACAAACTCTGTACGTCGACTAACACGTTAAATACGAGTAAACCCGAGCTATATAACTGGACTCACGTTTCAAGGGTTTAGGGTTGCTCTGTTTCCTTCGCGACATGACCTAAGGAGAAGTTCCCTCCTCCGCCAGGGCTGTCATGACACACACAACACACACACGAGATGTTACGAACTTGTCACGGAGGACGCTCAGCGACGCTCAGCGGACGACCAGACCTCGCGAGAGCTCGCAGCCGACTGGTGCTTGGAGGCGGAACTCCTCAGCACGGAGCCAGCTGAGGGCTGGAACTAGAACCGCCCACTTTCCTCTCCTCTCCCCCCTCTCCGAACCCCGAACCCCTCAGCCCGTAGCGCGTAGAGACGTAGCGGCGTAGATTTTGTTTATTAAGAAATTTCATTAATTTTTCAAATTGTATACATGTAAGAACTATTATAAAAATAATAATAAAAAATGCTTTGTTAGTTTTTGAACATAAAATTTATTTGACATCATAAAACTAAGATTTTTCCAACATAAGCCTTTGAATTTAATTATTATCTTTTTATAACCGTAAAGTTAAGTTTCACTTGTTAAGTTTTTATTTTTCCTCGTTTTATCAATTTATTACTAAGAATATATTTCATTATTTTACACTTTAATATTGGTAAAGGATTTTTTAAAAATAATTTAGCATCAAGAATGAATTATAAAAAATGTAATATTTATATGAATATAATATTTAGATATGACTAATATTCGGATTTACGAAACAATAATAATTCTTCCTTTTTAAGTATTTTGCTCTTCTATGTTTTGTACGTAATTATTTTGTTTATTTTTGTACTGAAAAAAATCGAATGAGTTCAACATATTATTAGATCCAGTCTTTTTTTATAATTTTAGCTAAATTTATAATAATAAATAGTTTAAAGTTTTAACATAACTTTGAATTTAAAAAGATTGGTTTGTGTTATTTTACCTCTAACTTAGCCAAAATATTTCCTAAAATCGGTCATCATTATTTTGAATTTTCCAAAATATGTAACAACAATTGCGATATTAATATTTGTGAAACTTAAAAGGAATCTCTAAGAATACTCCTGCTAAATAGAAAACTTATTATTATATATATTTTAATTATAAGAATTCTACATTGAAATTATATGCATATCATGTAACAATGGGGAAAAATCGTGTGATTTAAAAATTAACAATCTTTATTGCTAAATAAATATACTGAAATAAATACAATTACAAATTATTATTCATCCTTAGATATAAAATTAAGGTTTTAGGAATATTATTCTTATAATAACAATAACTTTGTATAAAAATAATCAGTTATGTACCTACATATAGAATTAAAATATTTAATACTCTCAGATAACAACAGATTCTATTGGGATATATCTATTCTAGAATGTTCTAGAAATTTTTAGAATGTTATGTTCTGTTATCAGACTTGAGGAACACACGAATATCAAAAACATGATTTACATTCAACAGAAGACTTCGGTACCCTGATGAAAATAATTATGGCTCAATTAATATTTATATACATAAGAAAAAAATCTTTAAATTAATATATAAACAGGTTCTATTGGAGGTCTAGAGGGTATAAGAAACATAGAAATGGTTGTTCAAATAATATTTTTCAACCTAACTCACCAGTCACCTATAATAAGATTACTATTTTTATTTTAAGTCATTATCAATGTTCAAAAGATGACCATTTGAAAAGCCGATCTTATCTATGGAATCAAATGTAATTGAAATTAGAAAAAAAATTAATAATACAAAGGAAGAGAAAATAATATAAAGAAATACAATCCCTGCTGTTCTAGGTTTCATATAATTTGTATTTTGTTTAAAGAAGTAAATCGAATCCTATACAATATACTGATGTTTGTTACCATTGTCTCCAATTGGTTATATAAATTTAAAGGTTATTATGATAATTATTTTCTCCCTGCTCTAAAGGCTGAGTAAAGAAATTCTTTGTTACATGAAGGTGGACACTGAGACAAACTTTATCTGTCAATAGAGAAGATATATACATGATGTATACTAGTTGAGAACATTGATTATTTACGTCGGATTAAATTAATATAAGCACTTCTAATTCTGTATATCTATTTAGTCGTATTACTTATCAATATGAACTTAAAAACCATCTGAAAATTAGGTGAATTAATAATTTTTACCAAAAACTATAGAATTATATAAATCAAAGACGGTATTTTGTTCATTTTGGGACTACAAACAAATATTGACCATGACAAACTTAACAAGGAGGTTTTTCAAATATCTATTTATTCCATTTAAATATTTTTAAATATTTAAATATTTTAAATATTTTTTTATTCCATTCTTGTTTTGTTGTGAATTATTATTATTTTTATTGTTGAATTTAGGCAGTATTCCAATAAAACTCTTGTTTAGATTTCTATAAGCTAAACACTTTATTGGAAGCAAAAATGACACACAACGCGATAATAGTTATAAGGACATAGTTCACAGATAATATAAAAAATATAAATCACCTATCCACAGACTATTTTACTTTATAAATTTACTTATTCAACATTTATTTTACTCCCATTAACTCCTTTTTAGATTTAGATACATGTCATATTACGTGTCTATTATAATGTTCAGACTTCTTATTTTTCTACCTGGCAATTTCTTAGCTTTTAGCCAGTGTCTGCCTTACATGTAAATAGTTTTGGCTATTTGTTTTTACGACCGGCCGCCTGCCTGACATCAACCCTCTTAGGGAATGCATTAATCAGTGATGTTTAAATACTCTTAGAAAGTAGATATGTCTCGGAAAAAATGGTACTTGCCAAGATCGAACCCGGACCCTCATGTACGAGAGGCGGGCCCTTTAACCACTAGGCCACCACTGACTTAATGTTCAAGACTATAATGTCTTAAAAATTATTATAATGAAATAAACGCCTTTATCACATTCTACAAACTCCTTTGTGTTTCCTCCACACAGAAATCAAGATTTTAATTCGTCCAACAAATGAAAACGTTGATATTGACAAAAAATTCCACTATTTCAGTGCTATAGCATAAAAAAAAGTATTTAAAATTTTGATTACATTATGAGCTCAGGATATGAAAACTTCACAAAAGTTAGAATTAAACTGCAATCAATTTATCTTGATATTTATTTAATACAAATTACGAACCCTCAAAGAAGATGTTGCTACTGGCGCGTGACTGATGTGAATTATAAAATATATTGTATGTTACAAAATCTTTAATGAGTTTTTAAGATATTTCGGAACGAACACAACCGCCCAACAAACATACATAATATACATTCACTCCAACCAAGAGCTGAAATTAACATACGATAATTATTGTGAACTTATAAAAATATCGTGGATTGTGAATAATAAGAATTATGGAGTAATATTTAAATGAAACTAATATTTTTCTGATGTTACTTTACAGCAACGGAAACGTCGGGAGTATATAGTTTTTGATAGAAATAAAAATCGGATGCAAATCCAAAAACTATTAGTTTCATTTAAATGAATACCTACTCGCCAAAATCCTAGATTTAATTGTGGAGTGCTATTTTTAATTTTCACTACTTATGGTGTATTACTAATTTAATATAACGTTGGTTCATTTATATTTTATTATTCATTTATATTTATATGTTATTGACTCCCACTAAAATAATATAAAATTGATCTAAATACCAGATCAGAATATAAAATATTTTATTTGGAAAAAAAATATATTATTTTCCTTCATTCATGAAAAGTTTTTATTAAATTAAAATACCTAATTGATTTATTACGCAAAAAGGTTTGTATATACAGAAATATTTTGCTATATGTTTATATATACATTGAAGATGTGAATATCAATTTTTATATGTACATCATATAACATAGCATATACTTTTTTCTGATAACAAGTCTAAATTTTATCTTTAATCTGTTCAAAATTACTAATTTTAATTGATAATTTCACAAAATTGTGATAAAATCATAAAATAAAAACGAAGGTTGAAGAAATTATTCTTATTTATGATTTCCCCCGCAAAACACTTATTTATTTTTTAACAAAAATCGATAACAAAAACGTCTACTTAATATCATGTACAATATATTTTATGTTAATTTCAGTACAATGTCTTTATTTTTAATTTGTTCCCTAAGTTTAATTTTTCTCGTCTCTTTTCTGATGTAAATAAATCATTGGTCTGTTCTCAAACTTTATAATTCCTAAATTTTGTATTAATTATTCAATGAATGTAGACTTCTATTACATGTTTTAATATTTTTGTCATAATAACAGCACATGTTTTGATTTGATGTTCCATGTACCTGTGTAAAGTCGATTTCATTTTGGACTTTATAACAATTAACTGAATTAACTGCCAGGTTGCATACTCGTAGTTGAGCGAAGATTCTCTTGATTTTCCGTATAATATCTGTAATCAACAAGTATTAACCCCAATCCCTATTTAAATAATGCTATTTTTTATTAATGACATTCACTGAATTATTGTGAAAAAATATGACATCAAATCTCTTTGTTCGAATAAGATTAGTAGTCTGTAGATCTTTTTCCTCACAGAAGTACACTTCCTCCTTCTTGATGTTCACATCAAAGTTTTTTAACAGCTTACCTGAGTTCGGTTTCCTTCAATTTATTATGAGCGTGTCTTAAAATCAACAGAGAGTAGGTTTTGATTGGCGTAGTGTATAAGACATTACAGCTTTATTAAAGCACAAGCCTTCTATAAGGTTATGTAAGCCTGGCCATAAATACTGTTATAATTAAAAATAAACAAAATATCACATTTGAATTTGGAATCTGTCATTTTGATATAATTTTTCATAGTGTTTTCTTATATTGGCGCTAACACATTGTTCAATATTTTATTTAAGTTATAATCATGTTCAATATTTTATATAAGTTATTTATTTAAGTAGTGTCCGCACAAAAAAGGTGGTCAAAGCAGTAAGGGAAAGAATTTTATCTCGGACAATGAAGTTAGCACATAGAATCATGTCGTATTTTAAAAGATGACTTAAAACTTGCAGCCTATAAGAAATGAAATGGACATTTTTTAAATGATAATTTAAAAAAGAATAGGGTGATGAAATCTAAACAATAACTGAAACGGTACGCAAAGGGAGGTCACAGAAAAATTTTGTTTACGGATGATAAAATTTTTACAATTGAGCAACATTTTAACAAACAAAATTACAGTATTTATACTCAAAGCTCTAAGGAAGCTTCCCAATTAGTCGACAGAAAGCAACGTAAGCATTATCCGATTTCAGTGTTGGTTTGGAGTGTTAGCTATGAAGGAGTGATTGAGACATACTTTTGTGAAAAAGGAATCAAAATATCAGCATAAGTGTATCAAAATACCATTCTTGAGAAGGTAGTTAAGCCCCAACAACGGTCCTTCCAGCAAGTCTTGGTTGGAACCAAAAGTTTCCGTTTCCGTCGTCTAGTCCCGATCTTAATCCAATGGATTATGATTTATGGTCAGTTTTAGAGAGTAGGGCTTGCTGTAAACGCCATGATAATTTGGACTCCCTAAAACAATCCATACGATTGGGAGTGAAGACAGTGGTTAAAAACCTCCGCCTCTTATGCACGAGGGCCCGGGTTTGATTCTAGCCCGGGCAAGTACTAATGTGATTTTTCCGAGTAATATGTACTTTCTAAGAGTATTTAAATATCACTGATTCCCAAAAAGAGGGTTGATGTCAGGCAGGCGGCCGGTCGTAAAAAAAATAGCCAAAATTATTCACAACATGTAAAGCAGATCCTGGCTAAAGCTAGGAAATTGCCAGGTAGAAAAAGAAGACGATTGGCAGTGAAGAATTTTCCCGTGGAAAGAGTGCGTGCTTCTATTGATGAAGGGCCTCAACGTTTTAAAGACTGTATTGCAGCCAATGGAGACCACTTCGAATAAGCTTTTTATGTTTTAAATTGTTTTATATTTATTTATTAAACTTATATACTGTAAAAGTAATAAATGTTATTTGCAATAAAAAAATATTTATTAATTTGTAACAATATTTATGGCTAGACTCTACTATTACTTACTTACTCAAAGTTTGACTGGTCACACTACGTACAGAAGGTTGGTAGTTTTTAATGCATAACTGCATTCACGAATAAATATAAATTTTTTAAAACAATATTTTTCTTTTACAAATATTTTTCATTTGCTTCATTGAACCTGACTAAGATAATATCTTATTTGTTAGTTGTAAATTCCATTGTATATAATCATTTCTAAGTAAGTGATTCATTTATTAAGTTGTCAAAAATATTAATAATTAGTTTTAAACAAAATAACATTTGTACTGACAATATTTATAAGGTACTTTACCGTGTACACTCATCGGTTAGTCCTTGCTATACACTTATTAAATTATATAATAATAATATAAGATAGAAAAAATTAATATTAATTAATCTTTTATCCATGTTTATTTTTACGTTGCTATTTAAATATAGAAAATATTCATAAGCGAAAAGAAATCTGAATGAAAAAAAATTATTATCTGAATAACTTTAATAATACTTTATTAAAAAGAAACTTTAAGATTTCTACGTATAGTATATATACTTAAAATAATTGGTTAATGCACTAAAGAAGACTTTTTAATATTTCGCAAATACAAAATTTTTCCTTATAACAATGTCCATTTTCATCTCGTCTGTCCGTAATCACGGTTGCTGCAAAGTGACCGAAACGTCGGGAGTATGTAGTTTAAAATAAAAAACAAAAAAAATATTTGTTATATTTAAAATGTTCATTGTCAAACACACAAAACCAGAAATTATGAAATGAAATTACCAAATACTTTTTTATTATTTTATTATACTAATGAAATAATAATATTTTGATCATGCAAAATGTTTTAAAAACAAGAATTCAACTGGTCATATTAAATTGTTTTGGTTATTCTCCTTACAAAATATATATGTATATACCAACCATATATGTACTAGAAAAACACATAGTATTATATAAATTATTTGATTTCAATGAATTTTAATTATATATTATCTATGTAAATAAAATGTCAAAGGTCTGCAGTTGTGAGTCACCACAATGATAATATTGGATGTATTTAAAATTTAAATACAACTTTTTAAGATTTTCCTCGAAATCTATTGATTATAAATTATATTTCAATAATGTAAATTTATTAAATTTAGATTTTTAGTACCATAACTTATTCAATTGTGTAATTCTTTGTACATATTAAAACACTGTTTACATATAAATCAAAAGTACTTAGATTGGCTAATAAATATTTTTTAAAGAGAAAGTTTGTTACAGCTCTCTTTATTTTATATATATCTCTTAAACTGACGCTGAAATAAATAAATTTATTTTTTAAACGCACACTAACAATGACACATACTGATTTAAATTTATTTGTAAACGGGAAAATTGTGACAAAAATATTATTAATATATCTATATAGTTAGTATTACGTTTATTTGTAAATTTAACGTTATCTGGTTGGAACATCAAAAATCTATTCAAATAATTTTCATAAATCTTTTAACTTTGACATAACATAATTATTTTGACAACAATAAAACCGTTATAAAGGCATTTTAAACTTTTCATATATTTGTCTGAGTCTATTACCGAAATCATTACCAATGCCTATTTGAAATCCTCTGAAAACCTTTTCCGATTCATTCTTCATAAACATTAATTATTATTATTCTTAATATTACACTTGTCATCTTTTAACTATCATTGCTAGCATCTCATCTCGTCTGCCCGTGATCACGGTTGCTGTAAAGTAACCGAAACGTCGGGAGTATGTAGTTTATAGTCAAAAATAAAAATCGCGTAGTAAATCGGAAAAATATTAGTTTTGTAAATACCTACCTCTTATTCAATATGAGAGACGTATTTCACAATTAGGTAGGTACATTTAGGTAGAGATTTCATTGATTGAGTTGGTGTGCGTATTTACATTTGTATAAACTATAAAAGGTAGGACTAAATGAATAGAAACCATTTCAAATGTTCAATATTAAAGTAAATGTATTAAAAATATTTGTTTGGTTGCATTAAAGATTAACTAACGTAACAAGAATAAGTTTCAAAGAGGTCTTTCAACCACAGTAGCGTCATCTATGAGAGATTAAAATAGTTAAAAATATAACAATAGTGAACTGAAAGGTTACTCAAAATCTCTTAGAACTGCGTTAACAGCTCCATCTGTACCATTCTTTCTGTTACTGTTTATCATAGTAGGTTGGTTGAATATCTATACTGCTGTTTTCATAAAGACCTACTAGATGGAGCTTGAAACAATTTTATTTTCATATAATTTCATTACCGTTAATAACTATTAGAAATAAAAGAAATGTTATATTTTCCCTTTACATTTCGACTTTCAAAAAACTTTCCATTTTCTGTAAAATTAACTGTATTTTTGCTGGTTAAATAATGCAAAAAAACTTTTATATTTTTATGGGTAAGTTTAACGACCAACAGATGGCGCTACTTACCGTAATTGGATTCATAGGTGTTCAAGCTTTCGTCTTCCTTGCGGTATCCGGTATCCCAAATATTTATAATTTACAAAAAAGTTATATTTCATGAAGACTGGAATTTTTTTCTATTATTATCCTTGAATATTACATTAATGTTCTTATCTGGTTCTAATTGTTAATGTGGACAACAATTCAAACAATAAAGCAAGCTGTAAATGTAATCATTGTTACTGGTTATATTTTTAAAATAATACATTGTACCTGCTGGCGCTACTTGTCAAGTCTTAGCGAGTAACTTTTTTATTTTGAAAGAACATTTCTATTTTAATAGACATTCACCGGACATGTTTAGCTTTCAATCTGAACGCTATGATGTAGATATTGAATCATTATGTTTCACTTCGATGATTCATCTCAACACGTCACTAACACAGTCATTATTCCGCACACATGTACATAGGTAATGGTTGATAAGTGTGGTACAAGTTATAAGCTTATTTACAAATTTTTGGGTTTTACATAAAAAAAATAAAGGAAACACAATTTTTTATGTAACATTTTATTCATATTTAAATATACACAAGCAGTAAAACTTTGCCTAACAATGATAAAATGCATTATTTGTATCTATAAAATTAAGACAACAAAAGTATTTTTGATTACAATATTATTTAATGCAGATATTAAAAATATATTCTTAGTAGTATTTAGACACCACTGACAGTGAAGAAAATTATCGTGAGGAAACCTGGACTTAAAATTTCTAATTATAAGTTTGAAATTGCCATCCTGTTTTGAGCAAGCGTCGTGATTAATGCTCAAATCTTCTCCATGTAAGAAGGGCCTTTGCTCAGCAGTGGGCTCTGATATGTATTCAAATATGTATTATAATACGAACCTTTCTGTATGTTTGTTTATTGTTCCTCTCACCTGAGGTTCTGTCCGCTCAGCTCGTGTTTTGCGCCAGGCCCGGTCACTCGGTCGAGGAGTGATCGACTTTTACGTCGGCGAAGTACGAACCGGCCTTGCAACAACGACTGCGGGCTGTGAATCACTTACGAAATACGCGCCTTTTAACTTCATTATGCACATTTCTAGGTCGAGTTTTGTTAGGATTTGAACGTTAAAATAACATTTCTTAGTACATCATTCAAACTAACATTTATAATGCAATTATCTGACCTTAAAATTTGAATATATCGTTATTAAATACACATAATTACGTTTATCTGTTTAGAAATATTTGCTCGTGTATTTATTATCGAGTTCCAGAAGTCTCGATAAGATAAAACGTGGGAAAAATGTAATGCGACTTATAAAACATTGGAAGAATTATAATTAAATGTAATTATTCATATAAATATGTATATAACATTATCACCTGAAAATGTTAGAAAGATGTTGAAGTCAGACATTCAATGTTAATTACACAGAACAGCGCATCTGATTAAATCATTGGTGATAACGACCTGTTTACTATCAACACTAATGTTTACGTACATGATGATAGTGTGTTGTGTCCTCATAAAGAGTTCTGGTATGTGGTCGTTGACAGTTTAATATGCTGGTGCAGCATGGGGTGTGCAGGGTGCAGTGTGAGGCGTGCAGTGTGCAGTGTGCGCGACCTTGCTACGTCAGCCGGGGGCGCGCCGGTGACGTCACGCGTCACTCGCCGAGCACGTGAAGAGCACGCGCGAGCACGCGGCCCGTGCGTGATCAGCTCCGGCCGGTTGGTCCGCGGAGGCGAGCCGCCGACACTCATTGGACGCCGCCCCTCCCGCACCCCCCGCGCACCCCGCCACCGTCCGCGCCTCGTACCTCGAGCGCTCGCGGAGCGGTTTATTCGTCCATCGCTCGCCTTGCGATACACACGGCTCCCAGAGCGAGGACGCGGAACGGAACTTTTGTGAATCACAAAAGAAACTTTGATAATATTGAATGAGAAAATAATCAGAATGTCTACCGTGTTGGATGTCTGCGGACCCCTCTCCCCACCCTCAACGCCGCCGTTGATGGATGTTAAAGTGAGTGTGCCATTGTTTACGTTGAAAACTTTTTTGTTTTTTTTTTTGTTAATAAAATTGTTCGATTTATAAAAGAAAATATTTAAATATTTTTTTCTTCCAATATAACCGTACTTCGTGTAATGGAAAGTGTAAGAGGAGTGTCCCCGGTGTTCACGCTGTGCGCGCGTGTTCTAGTCGGCGCGTAGTAAACGGCCGCTAATGTTTATCTTTATTTGTCTGCAGGTGGAACTACCTTTGAAGAAAGCGGCCGTGAAGCGAGCCCGGGAGTCTCCGCCGCCCGGGGGGCTCGTCACGCCTCAACCCTCGGACTCTGAGGGTGAGGATGAGTGCTCCAAGAGGTCCCGCTGTGAGCTGGCGAGGCTGCTCCTCACCACTCCTCCGCCCGAGCCCTGCTGCCGGCCCTCGGTCATCATGCGCGCCCACAAGGACGGCACCTGCAGCCCCGAGCCGCTGCCCCCGCCGCCTCCCTCCAACATGAACATCCTCAAGACGCTCAAGTTCAAGATGAACCGCGGCCACAGCTACTCCCAGACTCGGTACATCGCCAGCCAGCTCCACAGCCCGCCCGCGCCGCCCGTCACTCCTCCCGCTAAGGTTGAGGAGCCGCGGGTCCCGTCCCCACACCCGGAGGTCCCCAGGCCCGAGGAGCGCGCGCCCCCTCCCCCCACAGCGTCCACCCCCGGCTGGGTGCCCCTCGCCCCCCGGCCCGCGCCCGCGATGCTCGTCCCCGGCGCCCTCCTGCCCACCACCGCCTTATGGCTGGTCGCGCCCGCGCCCGCAGCAAGGAGACGTCTCTACGAGTGTTCGTACCCCGGCTGCGGAAAGAACTACTTCAAGTCCTCACACCTGAAGGCTCACGCGAGAACACACACCGGCGAGAGGCCCTTCAAGTGTGGCTGGTCGGGCTGCGAGAGACGGTTCTCACGGTCGGACGAACTGTCGCGACACAAGCGGACTCACACCGGGGAGAAGAAGTTCGGCTGTCGAGTGTGTAACCGACGCTTCATGCGGTCCGACCACCTCGCCAAACACGTGAAGAGGCACGCCAAGGAGCGGCCGCCCGCCCCGGTCGTGAGGCTGCTGCCCTCGCCAGCCTCCCCGCCCGCCGCGCTCATGACGGTCGCCCAGTGAGCGACACGACTGTTCACCAGATCTCATGATCTTTACCTAGCTTTATAATGAATTAAGACTGTCCTATCGTCTACTTACGTTATGTTAAGACTACGTCTATGTTATTGTCTAGTTGTAAGTTAAATATAAATCATTGATTCTATATCCTGGTTTCTTTCACTCCACACTCACTGAATCTAATGTTTGTTATATTGAACACCAGGCGGCGGCCGGCGAGCGACTGCCGCTGCGGCCCTCACGACGACCACTGATAACGCTTATCAATACCAAAAAATTAACAAGTAAATACCGTTACTTTTATTGAGGATTTTCTTCAGTAAATATCAAAAGAAAAAAAATTCAAAACAATGAAAAGAGAAACTCGATCTTAACAAGGAATGGTCAGTTGTTAATCAGTCTTAAACTCTGCGTAAAATTCAATCTATTTTAGAAAAAAATAAAAATCACATTATACATATATTCAAAAAATTAACAAGAATGACAAAATACATGAACAAATAGAAGGACAGATATACAAATGTAATAAAAATATTATATTACACACGAGAACACATCTACGAAAAAAATCAGCATAGAAACAATAATCTGCCACAGTGTAACAAAAATGTATGAATCACAGTCACAAGCATAGGCCGTGTCAGGCGAGTGAGAGATACACTGTGGTCACGTGTATACTGATAAAACAAAACATCTTTAATACACTTTAATGTTCATATACTCCTAGTTTTGTATTGGTATGAAAGAATCCTTAAATTCTTGAGTAAGAAAAAAGTACTAAAAAGTTGTCAAGAAGTAATAATATAAAAAAGAACTGAAACATTGTCATATTTCTGTAAAAAATTATAAATAAAACGAGGTCTTATATTCGATTTTGAACACGGGAAGACCCTATAGATATAATAAGATTTTTTCCTTGTTCATCAGATAAACTAAATTGGCTCTAAAGATATGCTCTTGTACTGTTTTTGTTGTAAAGATTAAAAAAATTGTCTAATGTAAGTATTGTTTAGGTCTTAAATTATAAAGATTATTCCGTTTTCTTTCGATAAGAACCCATCTTTGTTTTAATTTTCATATGAATTTGTGATGTAAGACTTTTTAAAAGATCTTAATTCCTTTTCAAAGAATCAATATCTTGGTTATATTTAGTTTATTTATTAGCGTTTAGTGTTTATGTACGTAAATGAGAATGTTTCTTATAGATCATCTGCTCTTATAAGTTATAAATAAACCAAATATGAAATACGAGAACTATTTAAGATTCAATTACCATAAAAAATGTACTAAATTAGTTTTAGTTTCAATATATAAAGTTTTACTAATTATAGGCTCCAACTGGGACAGTATTCACCAGCTATTTCTTCGTTTCTACTCATCATCAGTGGAATAACAGTTCAATTATCCACATAGTAATAATAGAAAAAACGATATCAAAAATATAAAAACTTTTTACATAACTTTGGAACTATTCGAAATTTACATGTTTCAAATCCTACTTTTATAACATATTTTAAACATACTAAAAACAATAAAAGAGACAGTTTTATGGAAGCATATTAGTTAATATAATTATAACTAAAACAAATATTATGTATTGTATTATGATAATTACGTGTAGGCACGACTCTGCCATACATTGATCACGGATGGGGGGCGTGATCAGACGTCACAATGAAAGTCACAGATAATATAAAAAGATCCTAAACTGTCACAGAAAAATCCGGTTTTAAAGATAATACAGATAAAAAAACAGATAGCAAATATTTACGATAAAAATAAATACTTACTAATTTTATTTATAAACTTACCAGTTTTTATGTACTTTTCATTTTTATGACTATTATTGAGGTGATAACTGTTGTAATATGAAATTTAATTGATGTTAGGGACCCTCTAAGATTTTTCAATTTATATTCTGGTTAGTTTAAATTTAGAACAGCTAATACTAATAAAATCGCATAATGTGTATTTTGATTGATTTTTGACCGAGCATTATGTTTATAAGGAAATTATTAATAACTCTCAAATCACATATCTTTTCTTTAAGAATATGTCAATCGTCTATTTTTAAATGTCAAAACAGTAATGTTGCCTTAAATTTTAACCGTAAATGTTGAAAACATGTTTTTAATACAGGAAAATATCTAATACATTAGCAAAGTCGCAATTTTTCCACCATTTTCAACGAAGCAAGCTTGAAACATATACAATTATTTTTTTTACACAAAAATAAAGATTGTAAAGACTATCTTTTATATAATACATTCTTTTTTACACAGTGTCTCAAATTATGCAAATTATTTAATGTTATGTGATTTCATTCTATTAACAACAATCATTATAACTCAATAATCATATCAGCTATAATATGAACAGCTCACATTACGTTCCGGATTTATCTCAAATTTTTCACAGTGAACCTGTTGTTAGTATGTATATAATATGTTTTATAAACACACATATATTTCATATTTATATAACACATCAGTATACATCAAAACAACTTAAATCGTGACTTGTATGAAGCTTGCACATAAATTCTTTGAGAGGAAAAAATTACAATACATCAAAGTTCTTGTTAGGACTTTTTAATTGATATTATAAGGAGTTACAGCAATTTAATATAACATTTTACAATTACTGTCTAACAGGATATTTACGATTTTCCGTTTTTGTTACAAAGGGGGCAAAAGAGCAGACGACCTACCTAATGGAAGTAGTACCGTCGCCCGTGGATATCTGCAACAAAATTTTGCGGATGCATTGCTACCCTTATTGAGGAAAAGGAAAGGAAAGAGTGGGAAAATGGAAAGTGCAGGAAAGAGTGGGGGAAAAAAGGGTGACCGTCTCTCTCACTCATCGGACGAAATGCAACCATTAAAGACTACTTCATGCCGATCTTCTGTAAGAGGGTGGTACTTCTCCGGTCGAGTCATCCCATGTTCGAGCTGTAGTAACTGACCACAGCTAGGATCTACCACCTCTAAACTACCTGTTCCTATAGTGTGATGAAGGTAAGGCTTCGTCTAGGATAATTTGAATTACCTCCTGTATAGTCTTGATTTAGAGATTGAGGAAGATGGTTCAGGTTGAAGACATTTGACAGCAGCCTTTTGTAGATCTTTAAGCTAATGTTGAGCCTTTGAAAAAGTACGGATAACTTTATGAGTATTGTCAAGATCGAACTAGAACTAACCTTTAGCATCTATAAAACCCTAGTTACTTCATATCCCTCTTATATTAGTAACTAGAAAATTATTATATTAAGACATTTTATAGATCTATAAAACAAAAGCGTCAAAAAGGTCGACGAAATAAAAATCCTATAATAAAATATAACAATATTAAAGGTAAAACCGTTATATTTCTTATTTTTAAAAATAAGCAGATGCATGATGGTATTTTGAAATTTCTTTTATTTCAAGTCCTATAAACTAATAAATATTATTAACATGTGTTTTTCATTTGGCAAGGGTGAACAAAATGGCGGTTTGACACAAGTATCGTGTGTTGCAAATATCAATACAAATTATACATTTAATTAGTTGTTATCGTTTGTTTTTTACACAGGAACAATATACTATAATCATGTACGGACAGACACTGAATAATGGTGATGACTGATGAATACTAATGATGCTATATTTTTTATTATGATAATTATGTAGGTATAGCATAAGTAATTAAAGTCATTTAAAAACAGGATACGTGCTGGCCGGTACGAAAAGAGTTTGTATATGTTTTATTAAAAAGAAGTTTATAATTTCTATTGAATCTTTATAAATAGCAACATATGTAGTAAGAATAAGATAAAATATGTAGGTTTAAAAACCAATAAATAACTCGTGGCTACCGCCTGTAGGTAAAACTAAAGACTAATTTATATGAAAAAGAGAACATATTTTATATTCGGCTTAAATTTTTAATAAACTTTTTGTCCGTCCTAAACAGACGTTTAAAAACTGGCTCGATGTTAAAAATAACGCGATTAGATGTGAAATATTGACATGTGTTTACGTGTTGGAGTTTGAACCCGCACCAAGTGACGGCGAGGCCGATGAAATCCACCAAATACTATAAGTTCCGTGCTTTTCCGAAGTAAAAAATTCCGTTGAGAAACTTTTATGAATCAGATGTTGAGTAATGTTTTGGTTGCGGAGGATGTGTGGAGGATCGCTTCTCTATTCTTGGACCTGAACGTGACGAACTCCTGACTTTATTAGTAAACATTGGCCTTACTTTGTTCAAAATAGCGCTTGATCAATGATGGCAGTGAATTACAATGAAAACTCGAAAACCAAAGTAAGGAGTGGAGAAAATTTGACTGAGAACTGTTAATTTACTTTAAACTCAATTTTTTTACTATAATTATTTGAATATGACTTTAACATTGAATAAATATTAATTTTTCATGGCTTTGTGTATGGCTGTAAAAAGTACTCCCTACTAATATTATAAATGCGAAAGTAACTCTGTCTGTCTGTCTGTCTGTTACGCTTTCACGCCTAAACCACTGAACTGATTTTAATGAAATTTGGTACAGAGATAGAGTTGACCTTGAGATAGAACAAAGGATAGTTTTTATCCAAGACTTTTGAAACGCGATATAACCGAAGTCCACGCGGGCGAAGCTGCGAGAAGAAAGCTAGTATTTTTAATAATTATAGTCCTTCCATTACAGTAATATATAAACAAACATAATAAGTAAGCTTTATTATCAGGTTACATTACAATTAATTCACTAGTTAATACATTAATTTGTCCTCTAGTACAGGACCACGAATTAATTAGGATAGCACCTACTATGATATACTAAAAACAAAACATACATTAAATTCAGGTCTGTTTCTACCGAGTACCAACCTTTGAGTTATATTTAAAAAGGTTAAAACAGTATGAAGTCATTATTGCGTATTATAAAAATATCATGAAGAAATGTGTTCCCTTGAACGTTTGGACTTTGGACTTATTTTTCATGTGAATCAAAAGCGATAAATTAC